ACAACGCTTCCATCGGAGCTCTCTCAATATTCTCATTATTCAACAACGCTGTTCTCGGTTCTCTCTTATTATTCTCATTAATCAACAACGCTTCCGTCAGAGCTCTCGATATATTCTCATTATTCTCATTATTCAACAACACCCTCGTCAACAGTCCCATCATCGCTGTTGTCCGTTCTCTCTCATTATCCAAAATTGTTGCCGATGAATCTTCGACGGTATACAAGAGTTCGTAACCCTCATCATCTTTAACAACACTTTTTTCTTTCTTTGGGAACACCTCTTCATTCACACTGAGCTGACTTTGATCCGTGAGGCCACTTTTCCCTTCTTCACTGGCAGTTGATTCACTCTCTTTCTTTAGGGTCGACACTTCAGTCACTCCCTGTTTCTGATTAACGGGGACAACTTGTTCTTCCTCATCAATGTTTCCCTCACTCCCTGTCATGTTTGGGGACACTTCAGTCACTCCCTGTCTCCGATCAATGAAGCTAACTTGTTCTTCCTCATCAATGTTTCCCTCACTCCCTGTCATATTTGGACTTTCCCAAACCTCGGACCATGATAGAGCAAGGGCAAAAACGAGAGGCAACACAGATATCTGGACCTGGCCCTTCTGTTGACGAACCAAAGCAAAATTAACTGTTGAAAGGATGGGCTGAACCACGGCACATATCAATGCAACCTTATCCCAGAAGCTCCATGTAACTCTTTCCGTTTTTCGTTTGTGGAAAAGCTCGAGCATGCAAAGAAAAAGGGATACAAATGACAGCAACATTAATATCAGCGCATACCAAGATTTAGGCTCAGAGGAAAGCTGATCAAATATAGCTGAAGGGAACTCCAGGATGAAGTTGACAATAACAAACGCCTGTTCAATAGTAATATATGAAAGAAAGGGAAACGTTAATAATTTTTGGCTTCTCAAAAGGTGGAAAGAAAACTATTGTTCTGATTGTTAATCGTACCTTTAAACCCAAAAGGTATCTCCAGCGAGTTGCTTTAGAATGATCTGATATATGCATCAATCAGTTAGCATGCTTAATTACATATAACGATGTACTATTAAATCAGAGAAGAAAACATGCTTGTAGAATTAATTAAATCATAAAAAAAAGGTATGAAATAAAGTGTAGTACTCTAGACATTAATAAAACTATTATTGTCCTAAATAATGAAGTTCATACCTTGAAGACGTGTGGAACTTTCTTGATATTCGGATGTGGGTTTGTGGATGATTATTGAATGTAATTCTACATGATATGGTTGGTCTGTCTGGGTCCGGTTACGCTGAAATGCTGAATATAATAGAACAGAGGCAAAAATGATTGGCCAAGCAGATATTTTAATCTGTGTCTTGATATGTTGAACAAGTAGAGCCCAATTAACTGTTGCAACAATAGACTGAAAGATAGTAGATAGCAATCCAACAATAGCTGCCAATCTGAAGGAGGGTTTGCTGTTGGTTGGAGAAGGAGAATGAAGCAAAGGTTGCTCGCCCCTCCACATCCTCTGGGTAACTGTTTTCCCTTTCGATCTGTACTTAAGTGCAATGATCCAAAGAAGTAGGGAAGCGAGTGACAGCAACATGAG